TGCTGCGTTGCAACAGGAATGGGACAATCTGGACCAAAATGACCTTAGACGTCTCATTAGGAGTATGCCACGTCGGATCAATGCTTGTTTGGCAAACAGAGGAGGATTTACCCGTTACTGACTTGGTTGTGATGCTGTGGTAACTTTGCTGTTTGACCCCGGGTATCATTTTACCCTTATAATGGTCAGTCTGTGCCTTACTTAGTCTAACGATCATTTGGAATAAATCGATGAATGTGAACTTCATTTCATTTTGTCATTTGTTTCTTCGTCAGTTTCATTAGGTGACTTTAATAACACTTAAAAATCAAATATCCCCTACTTTTTTTGAATAGTATATATGTTAAACTGTGCATTATAGCAGAAAGTGGGTCGTTTTCCTCACCTGCGCAGAGCGCGGGCTTTTTTTTTCTCTTTCTTTTTTTTTTCCATTCAGGATATATGGCGGCCCATTGAGTGAAAAGACGTTAGCTCACTAACCACGAGGTCGATCCCCGGTGTTGGCCGTGAATGAAATGAAATGGAGTTTAACGTTCTCCGACACGGCTAATGAGGACGGTGTTGGCTAAGAAAGTTTTCCAGTTTGGTTTCCCTTTGTCAGTGGTGCAGGGCGGAGGGTCTGACTAGGGACATGGTCTAGTCGCTGGGATGGGGTGAAAAACAGAGTCCCCTTGTACACCTTGGCGTGTACATAAAGGAATCCTTGACAGTTGGAAACATTTGCTGGCTACCTTTCCCTCATAGCACATGGCGTATGCCCGTCTCCATTTGTGTGGTTCCGGCTTGTCAGTGATGTAGGTCGGAGGGCCTGACAAGGACAGCTGTCTAGTCGTTCGGATGATAACAAAAACCGAGGTCCCGTCTACAAGTTGGCGTGCACGTAAAAGATCCCTTGACAGTTGAAATTCGATATAAGGGTAGGCCGTATAGTGTCGCTGTCCGGGCAAAATTTCCCTCGTAGCACACTGTATGGCGTATGCTCGTCTTCATTAGCCCAGTCGGAGCAGAACAGTAGGACGTTAAACACCAATTCATTTCATTTCATTTCCGTCTCCATTTGCCCATTTGTAGCAGAACAGTAGGACATTAAACCCGTTTCATTCATTCATTAATTATTTATTTCATCCATGTAGTGTACGTTATTAATATACAGTCATAACGTATATTAACACTTGCAGGATTTCAGGTTATGAAAAAAAAAGCGGGAAATAACCCGACCAAGACAGACAAAAAAACCTTTCAAATAATATCTATAGACTGAAATCTAGTTCCATGGAGCTTGTTATAAACCCTGGTCAAATCACGGACGCTTGTCTTAGTGGGCATGTATTAGTGGTTTTAGTAGTGACAATCGGGGTCCAGGATTACATGTTTAACTGTAGGATTATTTCGGGATAAAGTTCTATAGTTTATTTGTCGAGAAAAAAGTGGGAAACAATAAATTTAAAGCTAAGATACATCATAGTGACCAGATAATCCAAAAGCTAAAATACACAATAGTGACCAGACGAACCAAGACCACACCCTTTTATTGCTGCAACTTGAATAAAATATTTTTGGAAAAAAAACTACCATAAAGTTAGTCAGGTCGGTGTAATGAAGGAATCAGAAATAAAAACTCCATCGCTATCCACATGAACAGATTATCCCAGACTCCCCAAAAGGCCGTTTCATCCCTACAGTATGAGGTTTCTAAATTTATATCATTGAACCATATCAAAAAAAAGTTTATCATTTTTGTTAGAGTAGTAATAGAATACAGATTAACAGTAAATAAATATTATTGATGGCTTAACTGTCTTCAAGAAAATTGAAAAAAAAAATGCTGTTTGGCTTTTATTTGAAGTAGTATTTACCAACCATTTCACGTTCGATGTTGTTTTCAATTTCACCATCGATTCCCTGGTTGTACTTGTCAAGGAGTAGGGTCGTCTGTCCAACCTCGTGGGTTTTCTCCGGGCCTCCCACTGCTAAAGAACCTATACGCGCAAGCGAATTGTTGAAATAAATTGAACCATATGTTAGTCCAGAAATGACCTAGTTTGTGCCGAGTGGTCGTTACCCCCCCCCCCCTCTCTCTCTCTCTCTCATCACTCCGCCCAATCACCAACCAGGCGAAGAGCGAGTCGTTTATGTATTGTTTAATGGTCGAGAGCGAGACATTAAGTAATATATTGTAACAACATGAGGGCCGTAGGTCCGAATGTTTTTACAATATATAACGCAATGTCGTAAGCTCGAGACCATTAAACATCTTAAAATACTGACACTCCGCACGAGCTTTTACGTCACATTAGTCCAATATCTCACTGGTTTGAATAAAGAAATAAGATGAAATAGAATTAAAATTTACACTGAACAAATAACGAAGTTGGATTATACATTGTCTTAATTTAGAAATTATACGAATTGAAGTTAGAAATTACATGAATTAAGGTTAGAAGTTACATGAATTAAGGTTAGAAGTTACATGAACGGAGGTTAGAAATTAGACGATAGCGTGTTAGAATTTTGAATCTAATATACCGCCATAGGGAGGCAACCCCACGGATTTTACATTGTTATCGACGACTGGCAAACTTGCGAGCAAAAAGTTTCATTTCGAAATGAATGGATGAATGAATGAAATGGGGCTTAACGTCCTACTTTTCTGCACTACTCGGTTAATGGCGACGGACAAACGCCATAATATATAGTTTTTCTATAAGGAACATTGTCCGTACATGCAGCAATTGACTTCCTGCTGTCAATTTTTCTTAAACGTAAACGCCAAGGTGTCCCCGGAATCTCGGTTTTTCGTCCCATCCTGTACTACTGGCATGGAGAAACCTACGACAGAGAATCCCGAGTAACTTCTCGGATCGAACCTCGGACCTCCTGGTTAGTGAGCCGGATGGCGGTCAACGTTATCAGGAGGGTCGGGATTTTGTTATTAGCTTGGATGCTTCATCCACACTGATCAGCAGTGAATTTTCGCTCGGCCTCTACAATCACTGATAAGGATGACATCAATGCGACTTAATGAGTCTCAAATATTAACTTTTTTCCACCGACAAATTAAATTCTAAAATATTAGAAAAATAAATAAAGACGTTTGACGTATTTGTAGGTAAAAATTATTTCCTATTTAGTGTAAATGGTATTAAAATGATTAAAAGGCAGCATTCTGCCCGAAGCAGTAACGTCTTATGTAAACAATGCACGCGCCATTCAGCCAATGATTGACGCCGGGTGATGTGACGTGTTAAAGGCAGTCGTCTTTTACAGAGATTAGAGAATCTCCTGGAAATTCCGAGACGTGTACAGTCACAATAGAGAGAGCAAAAAATTAAAAACCAGAATAACAGCACTCAATAATTTGTGATAAATAATTTCATATTGACAAAAGACGTCCATAGTGAATATGCAGCGTTTTAACAGGCGCGTAAACACTTCAAAATTGTCTTTGTGATGCGTACAGACAGATGTTCAGACGTCCAATGATTGAAATATTGAGACTATAGCATATTTTATACAGCGCTTATTTTTCCGAAAATCGATCATTACTATAACTGTTCAGGAACCTCGACAATTGTAGAACAATACAAATAGAAATACGTCAAAAAAATGAGTGAATGATCCTTTTATTTTCTGACGTTTATGTATAATAAAAAAAATAAATCTGGTGGATTCGTTTTTAGCTACGATTTCATCTTTTTAGTTTCACCTTGCAAACTCCTTTTGTTTATCCATGCTTGTAACGTTTTTGAAATACGATAATTTTATATTATCATGACTGATTAACCATTCCCGGTACAGTGTGACACCGACACCGTAGTACTATAGGACCTCTTTCTTGTGTTTGTTTCTTCGTGATCGTAACAAGACTACAGCATAAAATAGTTTTACAACTTTATTGCTAAGCTGTAATGGCTTTGCAGGTTCCTCGTTCTCAAGAATAATGACTGCTAGGAATTTCTGAATGAGCTCTGATCCAACTCGTTCTACACCCTAATTTATACCCCCTAATTTCTGCAGGTCTTCGATAACCTTGACGTTAATTTCCATCCCATGTATGGAATAAACCTCTTTATTTCACACGAAAGGAAACATTACCTTATCTGGTCTACCAGATATTTTGATGGATATTTTGACAATGATTATGATTTAACCAAAATATCACTGGTTTTTTTTATGTATAACTATATATTCACGTTCATTAAGTACGTGTGATTTGACTCTATAGACAGAGTGAAGCAACAATTTTGCAAAGAACCAAAATTGTCCCAAGGACCAAAGTGTTACAACACAACTTTAATTTAACTGCAAAAATTTTCGGTATTGATATGGTTTTTTCTTCTTTTTTTTTGAGAAGCCACCATCGCTAAGTGGGATAGATGCTGGCTCACTAGCCTGGAGGGCGTGGCTTGTCCCCGGTGTTGACCAAGAAAGTTCATTGGGATATTCCGCCGTGATTTTCCCTTGTAACAAGGACATCTGTCAAGTCATTCGTATTCAAAGAAAAACCAAGGTCTTAGCGATGCTGTCCCGGCAAAATCTCTATCATAGCACACTGTATGGCTTATACAGGTCTTCAGTAGCCCAGTCGGAACAGAACAGTAGAAAGTTAAAACCCATTTCATTTCATTTAGTATCGTTTTTGTGTTATAAAATGACTGTATTTCGGAAGTTGGAATTGTTTGAGGAAGGTGTTTAGTTATAGCTTCTGGGACATTGAATCCTTGTCTATATGTTCTGATTAAATAAATACATCCTGATATTACATGTATATATATCTTTGTAGCTTAGGAGGGACTTATGGAAGATTAGTTTGTTTTTTTGCAAACTAAATAAGTTGCCTCATTAAATAAAGTTTTTATTATTATTATTATAATAAAGTGTTGCATTGGGTGATTAATGCAAGCACTATCTGATGCCACCTGTAGATAAAGTGTTGCATTGAGTGATTAGTGCAAGCACTATCTGACATCACCTGCAGATAAAGCTAAATCCAAAGAACATGAAGTTTAATTGTGTTTATTAACTTATTTGTGACATACAAATAGATGTTATAATATTATTTACTAATAATATCTAATCATTGTGCTTCATCTATCTATATCCTTGAAATGACATAAATACTTATACTATATATTACCAGATTGTTCAATTTGGTACGATATACCAGTCTGTAACAGTATATCTCACTTTTATATCTTAACACAAATGAATTTTAAATTGTTAATAGGAAACAGCATAAAGACTGAAATCATGGAGAATTGAATCTTCCTAATATAATGTTATAAAAGTTTGCTATAAGTAGGAATAGGATATAATATAGATATACACATGTTCCAAGTTATAATCAGTAATCATTGAGTTTGCACAGTTTAAATTTTTATATGTCCATAACAGATTTGAAATCTAACATTCTGGATGGAATAAAATTTGTGTTTTTTTTTTTTTTAATCTAAAATCAGTTTTACTAGACTTTAATTCCCTAAATTTTGTTCCAGTAAAAGTCTTTACATATGTTACAATAATGTTAGAAATAAATATTCCATAATACATAAAATTTACAATCCTATAAAATAATTGACCTATTTTATAATTTGAATACCATCTTATATTAAATTCTACCAATATATACTACATATATATTTACAATAAATACAATAATATAATAACCTTTTTATCTTAAAATATATTTACATACATTAAAAATTACAATAATAACACAATTAACATAGCTTAACCATGAAAATTTTGCCTGATCAATATTCTCTTTTCCCCACTGTACATTACATATATATTGACCTACTTATGACATTTTAATAAATAATATTTACAGTATAACTAATATTTCTTATTCAGAATTAATGAGACAGTCAGAGGCATTTTGACAAGTCAGTCATATTCTTTAAGTATTGACATTTGCTGGAATACAATCAAAAGACTATACATTTACTGTACACTATAAGATTACTGTTTAAATTATAATTAACTTTGTCTCAAATTAACAAATTATAATCAAACTACCTATGTGATATATGACTTATATACGCAATAAGAAATTTAACACTAATCTAAAGACATGTGCCTATAATTCAGGTCGGGTGCACAGTTTCTCCATATGATAACTATTGCAGTACCACCAACAGAATAAGTCATATGATAACTATTGCAGTACCACCAACAGAATAAGTCATATGATAACTATTGCAGTACCACCAACAGAATAAGTCATTTGATAACTATTGCAGTTCCACCATTGGACTAATCCATAAAATAACTATTGCAGTACCATCAATGGACTAATCCATATAATAGCTATTGAAGTTCCACCATTGGTCTAATCCATATAATACTAATCCATATAATAACTATTGCAGTACCATCAATGGACTAATCCATATGATAACTATTGCAGTTTCACCATTGGACTAATCCATATAATAACCATTGCAGTACCATCAATGTACTAATCGATATGATAACTATTGCAGTACCATCAATGGACTAATCCATATAATAACTATTGCAGTACCATCAATGGACTAATCCATATGATAACTATTTCAGTTCCATCAATGAACTAATCCATATAATAACTATTGCAGTACCACCAAGTACTAATCCATTTTGTCTGCTTCCAGAATTCGGTTCTGGTAAAACTGAATATGCAGCTCCAAGTCTTCAACTATTATATACAAATTTATTGATAAAATAAAAGGTAATCTACCAAAATCAATTATTCTCTCATTATGTGAATTATTATATATCACTTGATTAAAACAAATTGCACATTTTTTGTTCAATTTAGAGGAACACATTTCTGTATTCTTGAAAAAAGCCTGGAGAAATAAATCAAAATAGCATTTAACTATTAAGATACCAAAATGAAAGGATTTCCCCATGGCAAATTTCAAAGAGAACATGTCTAATAACATGTAATATTATGCCATAAAATGCCATTTTACGAAGACTAGTTGAATCTCGGTACCTAGACCACTCAACTTGTAATCTATGTTTGAGAAACATCTTTTTTCTCTTGGCCTACTCATAAAGAAATATGTAGGTCCGGAAGAAATATCACAATTTACTATAAAGAACTGTTATAATTGATTATTTGATTCAACACAAACTTATATTTATTGTAATCATATATCCTGCTGATTAGGAAATGGGAGTTTTTCATCTTCAGGTGTATCAGGAAATTTATAATGCTCTTGTACCATTTGAGCTAATAAAGTTAATTCTTGTGATGGATTTTGTTCTTTATCACTGTCAGCTGCTGCTACCGATTTTTTCTTCCCTTTACCTTTTTTAACAGGTTGTTCTTTCATATCCTGTGTGGAAACATTTACATGACTTGAAGAAGCTGAATCACTGCTACCAGTCGATACATCACTGAATGATCGGATCCTTTCCTCATCTGCTGGTGGAATGAGCTTCGGGGATAAAATAGTCCCAGATGGTACAATTACTTCCATTTCTGGTTGTGAAACTAATGACAGAGTTGGTGCGTCTGCTGGTCGCAATGACTTTGGTGACTGACTCAGGAAACCTCTGGAACTTTTGTGTGAATCCAGACTATCTTCTGATGAGGAATGACTTTTTGCCCTAGCAGATGTCATCGGTATAGGACTACTGTGACTGTGAGGACGATTAATAATCAAACTGGTCTGAGCTTTTTTCTGATTCTTTTTCGTCTGTGTCGATGGTTGCCTAGGATCGTGCTGTTTTAATGGGGTAGGATCAGAGTCACTCTTATGACGTCTGGGACTGTGGGAGTGACTACGGGTATACTGTTTATGGATGTTTGTTTGTAGACGTAGAGATGGTCTGTCAAGGGAACCACTTCTATGTTTAGAATTGCCTGATAGATCTTCCATAGGAATTTCTTGTACATCTGGTTTGATAGCAGCAGACAATTTGGGACTGTGTCTGTTAAAACTTGATGTTTTGATACTATCATGATTCAAAGTCTGCACTGCGAATGCTGAAGTTGCTTCTTGTGCTACTTCTATAGAATCCCCCATTGAACTATGAACTTTCTCTGTATTCAACTCTTTTGATCTTTGCTTGGTTTTGGATTCCTTTTTTTTCTTCTCTGCCACTGGCTGACATTGTTGAGCGGATTTAGATGCCGCTGGGGCAGATGCGTCTTTACTAGCTGATGTTTGAACCTCACTTGTTACCCTAACAGGATGACTTCGCCCTGAAAAAACAAAAATTTCAATATTAATATTTTACATCTTTTCAATTTGTGTGTTTGAAAAAATAAATATCCAAAGACAATTTCTGTTTGAAGTGTAACGTAATCTCTTGTTTCTTTAATTCACATTCCTGGATACAAATTACAAGTTATGAAAGAAAACTTTGATTAACCACCCAATTCCTATTCAAATTTATGTCTTGTACAAAAAAGGACAGCATTTATCAAAATTGATAAGTACCGGCTTGAAAAACTTTAGAATTTCTTTTACCATCACCTTGCATATTTCTGAATCAGTGGTAACATGCATTTTCAGCTTATAATTCAGGTTGCTCAGTCGGATATGATGTCATACACCATATGACGTTGTCTAATGTAACGCAATTTGATTGGCTATTGCATCAGTTGGTCGGATGAGAATAGAACTGATCCTATCCATACAACAAGTTGTCCATCCGACCATTTGTCTGATGAATTGGTCAGATGCGACTGTTGCATCCAACGGTTCGGTTGTATAGATTAGTTGTATAGTGTAAACACTGCTTTTTCTTTTCTAGTTTTAAGTATGAAAGATATATTGATGAGAATGATTACCTGGTATTGGACCTGATCTACTATAAGATCCCGAACCACCATCACCTTGACTAGATATATCTAACAGACGTTCTATAGTAGACATCTTCTGCTGTCTTGCTCGTATTCGTCCTTTAATTAGTCGTTGTTTGGCAGCCATACATCGTATATGATCATCAAATATAAATCGTCCAGTGAGGAGAGATAATGATCGTGAATGTATTGTTTTAGATGTAGATGGTTTATGGACAACAATCTGTAGTGATCGACTATCATCTTTATCACCTGTAACTTCTATATCCTGTCAATAACAAATATAATAACATATCCTATCAATATCAAATAAAATCCTTATAACATATTACTAATAAAACATCCTGTCAATATCAAATATAACATCTTTAAGATGTGTTACTGATAACACATCCTGTCAATATCAAATATAAAATCTTTAAAATGTGTTACTGATAACACATCCGGTCAATATCAAATATAAAATCTTTATAACGTGTTACTAATATTACCTCGTGTCAATATCAAACATGTTATCTTTAAAACATATTACTGATAAAATATCCAGACAATATCAAACATAATAACTTGTTACTAATAACATATCCCCTATTAATATCACTTTATTGTTAAAACAGGTTTGCCTGGACAGTCGCGTTTCTGCCTATTTTTCAAGGGTTCTTTTACGTGCACCGAAACATGTAAACCAGACCACAGTTTTTCATCCAATCAGAATAACAAGATGATGCTCCTCCATTAGTGAGTCACCATTTCAATCATAGAGCCACTGAGGCCCCCAAACGTAGATAATCTCCCAGCTTGGATTCAACTGGATTAATAAGGTTTCTTCAAACACACATGGGTGGTAACACAAGGTACAATCTTATGGACACACAATTACTAAGCGACGTTTCGACGAGCATACTCTCGTCTTTATAAAGCAAATATCGCTTTGTATTAAACTCAGTAATTGTGTGTCCATAAAATTGTACCTTGTGTTAATATACTAATGTCCAAAAGAAAGTATACACTGTGCATTTTATGCTGCATCAAACAAAGTCGTTTTTCCATGGTATACGGTATTTTGGTAGAATGTCAGTTTGTTTCACATTTTTATTTTGCTTAGAAATGTTGAGTTTGGACGCAAGAGATAAACTCAGTAATGCTTTATCAAATCTAAACAAAACCTAGTCATACTTTTAGTGCGTATACTTTCTTTTGGACATCAGTAATATGTTCAAATACTAAAATGCCAATCAAAGAACTTTTAGATGGTGCTGACTTGTTTATATCATCTATAGAGAGAGAGAAAGAGAAATGGGGTTAAACGTCCACTCGACACAAACTAGGTCATTTCGGGACTAACACATGGTTTAATTTTATTTCAATAATTCGCTTGCGCGTAGGGGTCTTTAGCAGTGGGAGGAAACCAGAGAAGTTCTACAAGCGTTACTTTTTGTTATCCATCTGTTTCGAAACCCCGACAGTTGACTCAAAGACAGACCGTATGATACAGCGCAGCGCGCACATGTTAACCATTCAGCCATCCAACCCCTCCATCATCTATAGAGGATGCTAAGTGTTTCGAAACCTTCAGTTCATCATATCTTTGTAAATACTGACTTCTATTCCTTTCACACTATTGTAGTTTAGAATGGATTCAAAATCCCTCTACTGTCTATCAACAGCTTTAAGGTTAGTAGTTTTGTCCATGTGAACAATGCTTTTATAAACTCACCTGAAGAAATCCGACAAATCTAACAACACCCCAACCTAATCGTTTTGTATCTGGTTCTACAAGTATTAACTGAAGAGGATCTATTACCAAAAATCTTCTTTCTTGTCTTCGACTATAAAAATATACCACAATAAATACAATGTAATACATTAAAGAATTAAAACAGCAAACTCTAATTATTAACCAGATATTATTAATGGTCCCTTATTATAAAACCACATATTAATGGGTCTCTTATTGTAAAACCAGATATTAATGGGTCATTTACTGTCAAACCAGATATTAATGGCCCCTTAATGTAAAACCACATATTAATGGATCTCTTATTGTAAAACCAGATATTAACGGGTCATTTACTGTAAAACCAGATATTAATAGCTCCTCATTGTAAAATCAGATATGTAAAACCAGGTATTAAGGGTCACTTATTGTAAAACCAGATATCAATGGGTCCTGAACCCTGTTATACATAATTGCAAATTGTAATTAAATCAACCCAATGTAAACTCTTGTTTTAGTACCAGAACTAGCCAATCTATATTATGTTATAGAGAGAGAGAGAGAGAAAGACAGAGAGAGAGGGTTTAACTCCCTCTTGACACTGACTAGGTCATTTCGGGACTAACATATTTAATTTTATTTCAATAATTCGCTTATGCGTAGGGGTCTTTAGCAGTGGGTGAAAACCGGAGGACCCGGAGAAAACCCACGAGGTTGGACAGGCAACCCTACTCTTTGTCACGTACAACCGGGGATTCGAAACCACGCCAGTTGACTCAATGACATATTAGAAAACAGAAATGTGTATTGAAATTAATGCAACTAGTAGATAGTGATTGTTCACATATAATGCAATAATTCATTATTTACATGAATCACTTGCTAATATTGATTTCTTGTTTTCTCTGCTCTACATGTGAATCATATAATGTGTAATTATTAAGACCAACGTTTTAAATAAAGTAGATGTCAGTCTGAAAAATAGATGACAATTGGGTCATAGATGTATTGCATGTCTATATGAAAATCACATTTAACTAAAAAGATCAGATTTTGGTTTTGATTTTTTGCTTAGAAGAAATCTTCTTTAAAAAGATTCAGTCATACATAACTATAAAGGCCCGTATTTCCAGAGAAAATAGAGCATATTAAAAATTTTGTATTCACATGATCACAGGGATTACTTGAACGTTCTATTTAAGTGGGCTACTAGGTCAACACAGAGATTTTATCTCTATAAAAAATATTCTTAATACCTTTACCTATTCAATATCTATATCATTTTAGTAAGATGATATATTTTTTTTGTACCTTAAGTAATTTGATATTAAGTGAGAATATTACCTCCGGTTATTTCATCATATGTTTGCATTTACAAATTTATAAAAAGGTCTTCAATCAATGGCTAATATGGAGATGTTATAAGATTCATTATGAGTCATTTATAAGCTATAGTGGTTTCCAAGGAGCCCTTAGCTAACAATTAGAGTTTAGTATATAAAATTGATGATTTACTTTATCTAAGGTGTATTTTGAAGCTGAAATAATAAAACTAAATGTATTAAGACATTTTTGTTAATTAGTTCCTCTTAAAGGGACTATCCTGATTAGAACAGGGTCTCCAAAATTAAAGTTCAAGTAAGTATGAAATATAGAGTGGTGTATTTACCTTGTCTCAAAATTTCAGCTCAAAATATTCAGTCGTTTGGACGTGAACGTCAAAACGGCTTATCCGGACACGTAACCCTTTTAAGATTTTGGGTCAATTTTTCGTTGGGTGACCTGATAATCGATTCCCGTTTTTTGAGAGGTCTATACAGTGAATGACCCACGTGCTGTACTTGGTAACAAAAGGTAAATTTCCCCTACACATTTTGCTCAGCCCTTAGGTAGAGGGTTTTAAGGGATTTTAACACAAAATTAAGCAGTTATATTCTCCCAAAAATTATCGGGATTTGCTTTTCATGTTTTTCAAGATATATTCTGGTCTATAGGGTATCGGTTAGTACCGGTACAAGTTGGTTTAAAGGGACAGTATGAGCAGGAAATCATTCCTCAGTTTTATTATTCATATCTAAGCTTTACGAAAAACAAACCACAACTCTCTAATAAGGTGTTTGTCAGAAGTACTTATTTTTTCTTTAAAGGACAATATTGCTATGGTAGATGTGTAACAAACACGTGAAGAAACGGGAAGTGACGCCAAACAACTCAAACTAGAGTTATCCTTCTATACAACTGACTGAAGTAATGAGCGATAACAGACAAACGATCGAATTTCATTTCACTGATAATTCCGTTGAAGATGAAAAGTTATTATATGGGACAGTGAGAGGATATCTCACAATTCAAAAATAGAATTGGCTGTCACTAGATAAGGGAAAACGAGAAAAATAGAAAAATAATGTGCATTCCCCCGTTTTTATTCATTCTGTTCTTAATAAAAACATGGTAATGCACAGACTTTTTCTAATTTGTTCGTTATCTTTTATCTACTGTCAGCCAATTCTTTTTTTGAATTGTCAGATATACTCTCACCGTCTCCTATAATAACTTTTCATCTTCAACAGAATTATCAGTCAAATGAAATTCGATCGCGTGTCTGTTATCGCTCATTCCTTTAGTTAGTTATATAGAAGGATAACTCGTGTTTGTCATGTTTGTCGTCACTTCCGGTTTCTTCACATGCTTGTTACACATCTCCCTTAGCAATGATCTCTGTGTTAAAATTATATTTGGGATGTATTTAAACAGTTCTATCACATATTTTATAATGACTGACAGCAATATTGTCCTTTAACTTGGTAAAATATGTTTGTTGCTATTTAATTTGGGTATTTATCATCTATGGATGGAGTCCAGGGTCATACTGATTATCACATATTATGGGCACACATTACCCAGTTGGTATTTATCAAATGTCACTATGATTTATATTGCTCCTTATTTTCAAGTATAAATGATAATGGATGATAATCTCATACTACTTTAATTTATCAACACTTGTCGATAAAATAAGGTGTCTCTGCTCCACCACTATGGGGTTGAGCAATTTCATAAGAATAAGCCTTAATAACCACAACCTAAGCAATATTTATCCCAATTTTTATCGAAAACCTGCAAACGAGAGAGAGAGAGAGAAATGGGGTTTAACGTCCACTCGACACAAACTAGGTCATTTCGGGACTAACATATGGTTTAATTATATTTCAATAATTCGCTTATGCATAGGGGTCTTTAGCAGTGGGTGAAAACCCACGAGGTTGGACAGGCAACCCTACTCTTTGTCACGTACAACCGGGGATTCGAAACCACGCAAGTTGACTCAATGACATATTAGAAAACAGAAATGTGTATTGAAATTAATGCAACTAGTAGATAGTGATTGTTCACATATAATGCAATAATTCATTATTTACATGAATCACTTGCTAATATTGATTTCTTGTTTTCTCTGCTCTACATGTGAATCATATAATGTGTAATTATTAAGACCAACGTTTTAAATAAAGTAGATGTCAGTCTGAAAAATAGATGACAATTGGGTCATAGATGTATTGCATGTCTATATGAAAATCACATTAGAACGCCCCCGTCACACCCACACACATACACCTTTATTTGCTTTGCTTAAGATGGGCAGTGGCATATGTGGTATTGAGCCAGATTAACTACAATAATGCTGTTTGGGGCTATTTAACTAAAAAGATCAGATTTTGGTTTTGATTTTTTGCTTAGAAGAAATCTTCTTTAAAAAGATTCAGTCATACATCAGATTGTGGTTTTGATTTTTTCCTTAGAAGAAATCTCCTTTTAAAAAGATTCAGTCATACATAACTATAAAGGCCCGTATTTCCAGAGAAAATAGAGCATATTAAAAATTTTGTATTCACATGATCACAGGGATTACTTGAACGTTCTATTTAAGTGGGCTACTAGGTCAACACAGAGATTTTATCTCTATAAAAAATATTCTTAATACCTTTACCTATTCAATATCTATACTATTCAAAAAAAGTAGGGGATATTTGATTTTGGGGGCATAATACTAAAATATGCAAATGACTACGAAAAAAGTCACTATAGAACCTAACAGAAGAAACATTTCCAGTTACATGTGACGCCCAAACGCACCAATAGCTACCGCATGGAATGCATGTGATGCTTGGGATCATCATGGGGGTCCAACCCAAGATTTGCACGACTCTGACTTTGAATGTTACAGTCATTGTGGCATTGAATTCCAGGGTGGAAACATCAGTTTAATTGTTTTAGTGACCAGAAAACAAATTTTGATATGCGTCGGCTTACCCAAAATGAAAGGTTACGTGCCCTTGGCATGCTACAGATCGGCACAACACAGGCGGTTGTGGCGCGGACGATGAATGTTTCTCAGTCTGTCATAAGCAGGCTATGGTCCAGATACCGTGATACACAATCTGTACAGGACAGACCACGCTCAGGTCGACCAAGGGCGACAACTCAAGCCTAGGATCGATTTATCCGTACCTTGGCCTTGAGAAATCGTGTCATCACAGCAAATCAGATCAGCGCTCGTCTTCAAACAGACACTGGTGTGAGAGTGAGTGGCCAGACGATTCGGAATCGACTGCATAGGGGTCACCTTCGCGCCCGACGTCCTCGCGTGATCCCTTGTTTGAGAGATCATCACATTCAGGCAAGACGTCGTTGGTGTAGGGATCGTCAACACTGGGATAATCGACGCTGGAGCAATGTGATGTTTTCAGATGAGTCAAGGTTCACTGTTGATTTTTTGGACAGACGTAGGAGGGTGTGGCGTCGTCGAAACGAGCGCTTCCAAGACGTTAACGTCATCAGACATGATCGATTTGGGGGTGGTTCTGTTATGGTGTGGGGAGGCATCACTGTTGCTGGAAGAACGGCTTTACATGTTGTTGCAGGGCGTGTTACAGGCCAGTACTACTGGGACAACATCTTGGCAGTCCATGTTGTGCCGTTCGCACGACGTCATGGCCGCCGTTTCATCTTCCAGGATGACAACGCAAGATGTCACAGGGCCAGGATCGTTACAGGTTACCTCCAACAACAGAACATCACCACATTACCTTGGCCAGCACTGAGTCCCGACCT